CCAATTTCCAAAAAAATGAAAATTTAATCCATGTGGAAGCCCGTTTGTTTGACTGACCACAGAAACACAGGTTTCAAAATAAATTTGAATTTGGTTGTTTTACTGCAATTTACTAGCAACCTCTTGAAAAATTTCTATTTAATTTAAACCTAAATGGAAAACTCTAGCTATTTGTATTTCTGTTTTTTAACCTTTTTTTTTATTGGACAGCTTACCGTCAATTTCCCGATTTTTTTAAAGTTTGTTTTTTTTAAAAGGTCGCCTACAACCCCAATTTCCCTTTTACAAATTTTGCTTTTTTTTGTCCAACGAAACTGTTTTTAAACCAGGGCCCGGGGGCAAACCCGCAAGGGTTTTTGACCAGGCAAGGGTTTTGGGGAAAAACCCATCTGCTCTGATCATGGGGGCACTTATTTTTAAAACAAAACTGGTCGGTGAAATTTTAGGGGTAACACAAAAAGGACTACTGGGAAAATTTTCTAACCCCCAGTAATATGTTATTTGACTGATACAAAATATAAAATTGGGGTGTTTTAAGAGCCCGGGGGATATCTGGCAGCTCCCTTTTCAATGACGAACGGGCACCTCCTGTTACAATTCGGTGTTTTGGTTTTTTTTTTTTTTTTTTTTTCTTTTTTTGGGGGGGGGGAAAAAAACCACAAAATATATTTCAAAGTTGACTGGGGTAAATTTGGAGAAGGAAGCTTTTTTTTTGTATAAAATTGCTTTTTTTGATTTTCCCACTGCTTTAACTACAGGTTAAGAAATTCACATAACGCTCGTATTTTTCCAGAAAAAAAAAATAAATATAAACCCACAGAAAATTATAAAATGTTTATTTCTAAACAACACTGTATTCTGAATCCGGTATACTAAACATCATCACCATCACCTCTAACTGCTGCTGCGTCTCCATTTTATTCTATAACTGATTGAAGAAGCCATTGTTCCTTTATCCCAAGATCCCCGTACCGTTGAACATAAAATTATTCATCTATTTTTTGGACTGATACCATTTTTATCACATTGTAGGCTGTCCAAAATCCTGCACAACCGGGGTTTTCTGTAAAGTACTGGCCCCCACATCGCGAGTTCCTTTTTGGGGGGGCGGTTTTAAAAAACATTCGTGAACCCAGCCGCCCAATCAATTTTGTTTCCCACCGCATCTCTAGCCCTCCCTCTTCCCTCCCTCAACGGCAGCCAGCGGGCTTTGGGGCCAGAGTTGTGTGCGTATTTTGTTGGTTTTTGATTCTCAGGATAAAGTTAACAAAGCTGTGGATTAGCAAAGCGGGTTTGGTGTGAAGGGTTTGGGGACATGCAGGAGGGTGGGGTGAGAGAACTGGTTGAAAACACCTGGGCCTAAATGATGAAGATTTTTGGAATTTTTCAGGCAAAATGAATGAAAAAGAGGAGAGGTTGCGGGGGCCCAATAAACCTAAAAACCCTGACCCTTGAAAAACTGGGGAAAAACGATGAGAATGCAGCACAGCCAAAAAATTTTTTTTTCCCGACATAACCCACCGATTTAGGACTTTGAAGGGGACAACCCATTAAAAAGGAGCATAATTCCCTAAAAAAACTCTGTTTGTAATATAAAGGGGAAAAAACGGTCCATTTTGCCCTCACAGTTTTCTTCACAAAAGCCTGCCACTACTCCCATTGCAAACTCTGACCTAGCGATGTCGATGATCCACTGCTTATTATCGGCAGGACGCGGGGCAGTGAAGATTAAAAACCCACACACTAGATCATCATGCCATGCATTTACACCCTATAATCACCTCCATTAAATTTTTATCAAAACTGCAGGCTAACTATCTTTACCATCATCTTGAAATCATCATCAAAAGTCTTAATTCGTCGCCCAAAACCTTTAGAGTGGTGAGTTTTTTGTTTTTTCCCAATTTTTGTTATTAAACCATAACAGTTATTTAATAAAAACATTTGTATTTTACGATGTTTTTATGTGTTTTTTTGATTGTTCATGGGGTTTAATAGGGTTAAGGAAGCAGTACTGTTAGGCTAAATAAAAAAAGCATTTTTAATTTTTCCCTACATATATTTTTGGGACCAATCATTCGAATTTTTTAACATTTTCGAGGTCTTTTCCCCAACCCTTGCGAATTGGACAGCCAACCGTAGTCCCGTAATGTCCCCTATTCTGAACAACTTAAATCATACTTGTAGAAATAAAAAGGTTTATCATTTACCCAACCCTTTTGTACATCACCCCAAATTTTTTATCTAACACATATTTTTTGTCAGAAAAATTCAATGGAAATACAGTCAAATGTGGTGGGGATTTTTATATTCATTTTTTAATGAACATCAAATTGTGAAAAAAATTAAGATTAATATATATTTAGTACAGTATATAATAATTTTTTTATAGTAAAAAGACTGATAGGGGTTATGCGCTTTTTATATTTTTGGGATAAAATATATGTAAATTTTATCCCCCTGGATAGAAAACCCGATTCAAAATTTTTTCTTTCTTAGGGAAGTCCTCTCATATTTTAAGGCCTGAATTATTTTAAATTTTTTTGATTTTCCATTTCATTATGTTAACGTTAAAAAAACTTAATAAAAATTTTTTTACATTCTTCACCCTGATGTATTATCACCCTTTCATGAAAACCTCAAAACCCTTTCTCATATTTCCTTCAAATAATAATAATTTTATTTTTCATGATATATGTTTTTACAAAGGTTTTTAAAAAATTGGGTGTACATGCATCACAGTATTTTCATTGTAGTTATGCTTTGCTTCATGTTGTATACTTAAATGAAATGTATTCATCCTCCAACAACAGGGGGCAGACCCCCTAACTGATTGAAGCTGCGACCCTTTTGGGTGTTATGTCGAGGGCGAGACAAGAAGTGGCATTTAAATTGCCTGATATTAACAGACAAAGCATTCAAGATCGTGAAATTCTAAGGGGGTCATGCACTATTTTATATTTTTTTTCCCTTTCGGTCCCAAAAAAAAATGGGAGAAAATTTAAAGATTATTTTATTAATTAGGGAAAATGGAAGAAAGGGGATTTCTAAAAGGTTTTTCAAATATCAAATTTGGGGAAAATTTTGACAATCCCAAATGGGGATGTTTTGATATTTCTTATTTTGTAGATGTTTGGGACTGCCACTGCCAGGATTATCCCCAAAAGTGGAATAAAGTCTGGTCTTTTAAAAATGAAACAAAATTAGAGTGCTCAAACTAAAATCAAGAATGATCGCAATAATATTTCTCACAACAAAAATTAAAGATGAACCTAATTTAATTGAATTTGCAAAAAGTAAATATTCTCTTAGACAAAACCTACAAATGGCTGGTAAAAATATAAATTGTAAACTGAAGGGAAAAAAAAATTTTTGGGGGGGAAAAAAAAATGAAGATTGTAAATGCACCTTTAACATTTGATAAATTTCAGTGGGAGATATAAAGACCTATAGTTCAGCAAAAAAATCATATTCAGAGAGCATCTGCGGGCCTTAAGAATAAGTACAAATACATTTCAAAAAATCACACCCAGCATCTTTTATCACTCACGTGGAATCTTTAAAGGTTCAGAGCATATACTCCAGGTGGAGGTTGTGGAGGAGCAACATGAAAGCAGGAAACTAAAATATTGCATGATGGTTTGCTAGAGCTGATAACTAATGATGATCCAAGTAGCATCAGTTATGATTAGTTGAAGGTGAGGCAGGCATGGGGGTTAAAAACTACACTCATCAAACTATATTCTGGCAGATTGGGCCAACTTTACCAGTCATTCCTCAATACAGTTCGAGGCTTGATGAATATTGATTGTATTTCTTCTTCTGATTGCAGAAATCAGTCTATATCTACTTTTCTTGACCTAGGGTCCTGGTGCTCTTTGATCAGTCTTTGTGCGTGCTGTTCCAAATGATGGATACTGTTACGTGCTGTTTTGAATTAAAAAGCCCTAGTCCTGTTGGATGGACGTGGATGAGTGAATGAAAATTAAAGAGCTTGCATTTGAACTTATAGCAGGAGAGAATAATACCAGAGAGTGGTGGCAAGTTCAGTTGCTTTGCAAAACCAGGACCAGGAAAGTAGAGGAATTACTTATCCTGCCTTCAATCCAGTCCTTGGATACATACCAGAATCCAGGGAATCCATCCAGACAACAATAATGAGTTTGTTGTTAGAGAAATTTGCAGGGTTTATTTTTGCATAATACAAAAAGATTATGCTGAAAAATCTTTAATCTTGAACGAGATACCACATAATTGAAAGAATCTGAAAAAAGTCTCATGCTAAAATGGCGAGATACAGTTCAAGCTGCCTTTGAATCTAGCCCTTACTGACATATCTCTGGGTTTAATGATTTCTGACTGTAAAAGTATGGTGACAACAGCTACTGAACTTTATTCGGTATTTCAGATTTGGACAGTGGCCGCCGTCTTGATAGACTTTTCCGCGACGTCAAGATGCAAGGAAATATAAATAGTGGAAAGAGCAATGTGATGGCTTTCTTTGCTTTTTGTATAGAGAGTGGCCTAATTGCACTTTTAGAGTTGCCTATGCAGGATGCCTAAGGATTGTACAAAAAATTTGAATGCCGTTATGGTAGTGAGGAAAAACCTGCTCTTTCAGATATTAGAATGTTTACATGGAGGTGTACAGAGAGTGGGGTACAAATGGATTACTTGACAATTTTAGCACCCCCACACAAGATAGCTGAGTTCTTTCTCTGCACAGCGAGTAATTAATGAGGTCTGTCTCACCAAAAGTTGAAGAGTTTTAAATAGCATGGAAAGTGTTCCTTGCAGAAACATGGTGACCACATGATGTACAGGTATCTATTTTAGAATTTGGCCCAAAAAAATTATGTTTCAGAACAAAAAAACTATTACTGGGGGTGTTGGAGGATCTTATTCCTCTACAGTGATTCTGGATTTCAAGCGATACCAGAACATGCTTTTTATGATGGCTGGAATTTTGTCAAAAAGACAGGAAATGCTTCTCCATAAATATGGAGTCAGAACTCCTTCAGACTTTGAAGAACAGTGGCATTCTGAGCAGTTATCAGTTCCTAAAATTATCTGTGGCTGAGACAAAGAATAATAAACTTCATTGCTCAGAAAGTGTCGGAGGATCTCTACAGAATTGGTAAGATATAGTTTAAGTAATTTTTTTTTTTTGTAGTCCCTTCTGGGGACTTGGTGAATTGAAAATCTGTTATCTTGGTACATACACAACAGATAGATACATGCACTTGTGTTCTCACTGGCTTGATATGTTCTAGTTAAATTTAAACTTGATGCATCAGACTGGCAGTTTTTTTTTTTTTTTTTTGAGTGCTTCAAGTGAAACAACTTGGTATTGTTCATGCGGGACCAGTTTTGTTTACAATTGAGGCAGATCTTGCTTTACATATTTCATACATTTGATTGTATATTATCTGTTAATGTCCAGTCAGAAGCTTAAAACTGATGTGCTGGCAAGTTTAAGAGCTTAAATGCACAACCTGACCAAATTATTTTTTTATTTCATTTGTTTTTGTTTGTATTTGTCTTGTGGTGGAGGGGTCAAACACAACTGTTCGCTGAATTATTGTCAAATATTTCCTTGAAAAGTGATAATTCTCAAACGTTTGGATGTCCACACCTGGTCTGTTGAGTCTCAGATTCTCAGAAGAAACCAATGATTGGAACTGCCACAGGTGATAAATATGGAAGGAAAGTGCCAGCAAAACATAATACTTTGTGGGAGCCAATATTGTTTGGTCAGTATATTAACTTGCTTCAAGGTTTGTATTTCCCATTACACTTATTCCAGCTTCAACTTATGGGTTTTCATTGGTTTTTAGCATCACTACCCTTCAGGGTTTTAGCACTTATTTGATTTATGCATGTAATTACAATGTTTACCTGTTGGTATATATATAAACATACACCTACATCCGCTTACGACCGAGCTTTGGTTTGTCAACGGGGTTCGTAAGTTGAATGGTTGCAAGTCTGACAACACAAAAACAGTTGTTTGTTTTGCATACAAATACATTTGCATGCATGGAAAAACATACGAAAAACATTCATATGCATGCACAGAAAAGTACAAATATACTTAAGATAAGCTGGTAAACAGTATGGTCGTTAGTATGAGTGGTCGTATGTCATGCAGGTTGTAAGTCGGATGGTAGGATGTAACTTTACTGAAATTACTATTTTTCTGGATATAAGCCACCCCTATTTTGGCAGATATTTTTAGAATAATTAAAATATGCATTTACTTCTAGGCTAGTGAGTAAATGCTGTTAAGCCGTACGACTAACACTAAACAAATCAAACAAACTATTCTGTAATGTGGATTAATTGTATATATACAATTTGGATAAATGACAATGCAAAACTAATAAAATACTTTTTTATGCAAGGTATTTAAGGCAGCCTAATTTGATTACAAAAAAATGCCTTTCTACGTAGTAAGTGTTGAAGAATGGATAGAACGAAAAACATGGGCAATGACTGGATGAATGACAGGGTTTCAGGTTTGGTTCAGTACTGTATAATAAGTTGTCAGGATCACAATTTTAGGTAAGGAGGTGTTTTTTTAACAGTAAACTTTGAGCAGTGCTTGCAGATTAGAGAGAGATCTGGACATCTTCACGCAAATATTTCCAGATTTTAGGTCATTTTATGCACATTGACATTTGACATGGGGTGAGGTTGGACTTGATGAATTCAGAGATTTTTTGTCTATGCCTATGAGTCTGTTACAAGTATAAAAGATAAAATAGTTAATGATTTATTTTGTGTGTAAAGGGTACAGTGTGTACATTATAGTTTTGATTTGGTAAGTACAAGAGAGCCACCATTATGCAGGATAATCCTAATAACTTCTTAAAAACTACTTAAGTCTAGACTTGATTTTGAGTGGTTATCTTTTTAATAAATCTGTATTTATCTTGTACAACTAATGCAAGGTTGTCAATGTGGAAGTTTTTAAGAATAATATAGTGACCCCGGTTTTATCAATAATTAATCCGTTTCTGAGTGTGACTAAAACTGAACTTGACGATATCCCAATTCATTTTCCCATTTAGAAATAATGTAAATCCATTTAATCTGTTCCCAGACACCAAAAAGTATTAAAAAAAATATTTTTTATTTTTTTTACATGAAATATTACATTTACAAGTGGGTACCCCGAGTTAGTTTCAGCACCATATAATTCGTTCCAGAAGGCTGTTCGAGTGCCATTACCGACACGAATTTTGATTTGCTTAGTCCATTGCAGACCCCCAAAAAATAACTTACAAACGCATTAACTGTACGAAAACTCGCGATGCCACTGTTACCTACACAGAAAAACAATGAGACTGGAAGGAATAAACGATTAATAACATGTTACACGTAACTACCTTTATTGAAGACTTGTTGATGTATGGAAGACAGGAGGAGGGGAGAGGAAGGAGGATGGTTCTTTTGTTTGGGAAGGGGAATCCTCTTCCATAAAAGGCTTCAGGTTACAAGTCCTTTTTCTGGGGTTTACTTCCCTTCTTTGTTTTTAATGCCACTAGACCAGCTTGAAAAGTCCAACTGAACCCTTTTGTTGCTCAAAATTTTTTAGAGAGCTCTGTTTCTGGCATTTCTTTATAATTTCCTACTATGGGACACAACATTGTCATTGTACATGTTGAAACACAGCCTGAACAGCTTGTCTGGGGGATTTTCATCCACAAATGTTTGCACCTCACTCCATTTGCACAAATGTCTTAATCTTTTGAAGAAGGCACCTTCTTCCATCTCTATCCTTTCCTCTGAGCTAATTTCTGGAGCTGTGGTCTGTTGCTGTTGCAGATGAAGCTCTTGCAGCTCTCAGTGGTTATCTCCCTGTGGTCTCCACCACTCTTCTCATCATTGCCACTCTCCTCCAACCCCATGTATCTTGAAGTTGCACATAACAAATACAATACGTATTACGAATAATTGTTCAAGCAGTTACTGTTTTATGGATTAGCAGATGTTTTAATAGACTAGAGGTCATAAAATATTTGGGAGTTGCTTACTTAACTGATAGAAGCTGTGTTGTTTAGTATTGAAAGATGAGATGATTTTTAGATAGCCCTAAAATTGTGTGCAATAAGGGGGATCTTTTACCAGTGTGCAGGTAGTGAATTCAGATCTTTGAGGCCCTTTATGTGCATTGCATTTTTGCCCACCAGTGTGAGACGTATGAGGGATGTCAATGAGTGCTTTGTGTTTGTATTTTGACTGTTGTTCTATTGTAGCTGTCAAGGATAGTTTTTAAGCGGAGGGTTATATTGGGTTTAATGACTCTGTACAGATAGTAGGCATAATTATATGAGTGTATCTTTTGTATTTTTGGTAGGTTCAAGCTTTTGAAAAGTGGTTGAGGTGTGTTGTCTGGCACAGGAGTTGATCATCTGCACCAGCAGCTTTTTGGTTGGTAACTTTGTAAAGGTTTAAGTTGTTAATCGTGGTCATACCCCAGGCACAAATACATAGGTTAGGTAGGAATATATTAGAGAGTGGTTATAGGGATAATGGGTGTCGTTTGGGGTAAATAGTTACTGTATCTGGGAAATAGGATGCTACTGATTTGGAGATTATCTTGGATATATGCTGGATGTGGGAATGAAATTTAGATTATAGTTAATTGTGAAAGGGACCTATAAATGGGGGGAACATGTATTGATATTGTTAAGTTTGGATATTTAAGGCTCTATTTCCAACAGCATGAATTTGGTTTTGTTTATATTTAAAGTGAGTTTGTTGGTCGTATCATAAGCAGATATTTTTTTTTGTAGCTCGTAGTTTGGCAATGTCTCTAAGTATAAGCCAGGTTTAGGAGTTGGGATGCATTGAGGGTGATCATTGGTTTAGATCAGAAAAGATGCTTTGGGCCACTCGACAGCTACAGGCTGGGTAGTGTAGTTAACTTCATATGTGTATACATACTGAGTGCCTATTGCTAATACTATTGCCCCCAAATCTATGCACTTGGAATCTGCAGGCATGGTAATTTCTGGGAAAAACAGAGGGTGTGCAACTTTGACCACCCCAGAAAATTGCCTTGCCCATATGACGAACAGAAAAAATGCAACCTCTTCCTGTTAAGCTTTTTCACCCTGAAATGAGTCACTCTTCAGTTCAGGTAAGACAAGTGTATAACTTATATTGCCCGGCCCCCCCCCCCCCCCACCCGGGGTACAGAAGGATACAGAACACATCCAGGCCATGGGAAAACCTGGATAGCCACAGACACTCCAGAGAGAGGTTTTTTGGCACCAGAAGGTTAGCACGAACAATGACAGCTACCCCCTGTATGCCAAATCCAATCATTCCTGGAGTGGAATCACAGTCAATGGCACTCCAAAACAACAGATAATTAGTGCCTGGAAAAAACGAGACCCCCCCATCCCTTATCACCATTACAGCGACTTCTCTTTGCAAATATTCAGGGTCAAAAGCCAGCAATGATTAACCAATATACCTTTCCTACGTGGAACTGCTTATGGAGTCAAATGCAATGATGGTGGATGTCACAGAAGCCCACATAAAGGATTCAATTGGACAAAACGAAATATAGGATCCCAGAGTTATACCTATACAGCGTGACAGATGTGAACAGGCAAAAGTAAGGGGTTGGCCTGTGTATCACAGAGTCACATTAATGCTCAGAATCTACTTAAATGCACTCAAATGATGTATGTAGTTGAAGTTTTAGCAGTAAAGATCAAGAACCAAAAACCTGGTCATTGTGGCGTTGTATACAAGCCTCTAGATGCAACGTCCCAACAATTCCAGGATGGCTCTTGAAAAATTGGACCACTGTCTGGAATATCTTCCAGTCCTGCCCCACCATCTTGCTCCTGGGGGATTTAACCCTTAGGGGACCAAACATGGAGGAATATAGCAAATTATGTGGTAGCAGAAATAACACCAGGAGGCAGATCAGATAAAAACTCGCACACACCGAGCTTTTAAATCTTATGACACAAATTCACCTTAAACTGCAAATAATAGAGCCTACAAGATTGGAGAATTGCTGGACATCATCTTTCACATAACATGATCGATCTGATACGAAATGTCATCTGATCACGACATAATAGAGGTCCAGGACATGTAGCTGGACCCTTAGACCGGACAAAATATGATCAGTCACAAGGAGCCTTCACCAAATTCACTTCAACTAAAACAAAACAATAAGGTGGGACAATAAACCAAGTCCTAAATGATATAAACTGGGAAGATAGACTATGCAAACTAGCATAGATTAACTCTGTGGCACTTGAGGTATGCTCAGGGCATATTCCTTAAGGAAAAGGAAGAGAAGACTGTAAACTAGAAAGAGAAAGGCACTCCCTATACAGGCAAGGAATAGAAATAACAGAGCGGCTACAAGTGGCCATATACTGCAATACATAGGGAGAATCTTGCAAAAGTCAAGAGAAACACGAGGAAGACTGAAATGCCATAAATGAAATTGAAGCAACCCAGAGTATTTTTGTTTCTTCGGCCATATCCAAAGGTCTAGAACACTTCAGTATTGTGCCCCTTGTTAAACAGGATGAATCCTACACAGCTGACAGCATGGAAATGACGTGAGCTACTCAAATCCCTATATGGACTCGGATTGTTTTTAGTGATGCCATACCAGACTGAGAGTCGATGACCTAAATGAATTTTTTATGAGAGAGAGCAGATTTGGTTGACAACACCATTATCTGATATTATGATGCCAAAGGATTCGAAAAGGCGATAAATGACATGCCCATGCACTCTACCCAGGACCAGACTCGTGGACTTTGGGTTTCATCAGAAATGCAAGAAACCCCCTATCATGTACTACCTTTTAAATCTGTGGAGAGGGAGGCCTTGGTACACGGGGGTCATCCCACAGTTGCTAAAAACAAACAGACATAGCCACAGTCCACAAACGGTGCGGCAGTAAAGCAATAGCAAAGAACTACAGGACATAATAGCTCTAACATCCAATATCATAAAAAATCTTGAAGGGTTCTAAGAAGGCAAGATCACCACCCACTAGATCCCATCAGTTACACAACCAAGGGCAGCATGGGTTTAGAGGCAGGTTGTCCTGTCTGTCCCAACTACTGGACCACTATGACAAGGCTTCTGGATGCTTAGAAGACAAACTGAATGCATATGTAATATACACAGCTTTGCAAAGCTTTGACAAATGTGGACCATGGGTAATAGTGCACATTAATGAATGATAATGGAATAACAGGAAAAGTCGGTAGATGGAT